TCTAAGGTATTAAGCATTTGATAGGAAGGCCTTCTCCTATGCTATCTGGAGAAGACCCTGAAGGGCTTCTCACCTGAACTCATCTTAGAGGGCCAGCAGGGCTCCTGTGGGAGCAGAGAGAATTCTCAAGATGTCTATGGAGTGTATGGAAGTAATGTGGTGAATTATGGGAATCCACAGGGATGGAATTCATGGCTTCCTTCACCATACAATTTCTTATGTTTGTGTGTGTGTGTGTGTGTGTGTGTGAGAGAGAGAGAGAGAGAGAGACAGACAGACAGAGAGACAGAGACAGAGAGAGACAGAGAAAGACAGAGACAGAGACAGAGAGAGACAGAGAAAGACAGAGACAGAGACAGAGAGAGACAGAGAGAGAGACAGACACAGAGAGACAGACACACAGAGAGAGAGAACACCTGCACCTCATGACTGGAGCTTAAACTCTGGGCTTATGTGCTATCCCTTACTTTTTCTGCTTAAGGCTGGTGCTCTGTCTATCACTTAAGCCATGGTTCCAAACCTGTCTTTTTCCAGATAATGGAAGGTAAGAGTTTCACAGACTTTTCTGCCCTGATTGGCTCTGAACTGGGATCTGCAGATCTTAGCCATCTTAGTAGCTGGTATTACAGGCATGAGACTGTAATGAGATTGCATGGCTTACCAGCCATACAGTGTTTATGAATGACTTCTTGATTGGGGAAGAGGGAGATTGAAGAGGGAGATTCACTGAAGTCATCTAGCATCTGGAGTAACAATTGGTGAGATGAAACCCAGGCTAAGATTACAGAATAAAGTATTGGCATCCCAAGATCAAATATGAAATTGAAGAATGATCCTATTTTACTTTGTCTTATTTTTATGTGACTGAACCAGAAATCAGGAATCCGGTATACCATATAATAAAATACAAAACGAATAAATGACTCAATCTTACAACTTTCATGTGCTATTTATGGACACAAGGTATATCTCCATCTTTTAATAGGAGTGATAAATACAACTTAAAATTTAAAAAGGATTGGAACAGAAAAATTACAGACACGAACAGTGTCCTAGACATAAAAGAGATGTAATTTATTTTTATAATTTTAAATAGTTGTACAAAAGGGGTTTCTTTTATTATTGTGTGTTTTAAACTAATCTCAGATTTAAAATGCTGTAGGAAGTATTCTTGTCTGCACGAAGGCCCTTAATATGACTAGAAATAGTTACTGCTTTTATTTAAACATCCTTCAATATGTGACAGTAACCTAGTGTTCTATATCTAATCTTATTTAATCAGATTGAATTAGTGGTTGAACTTTCAATAGTATTCATTTAAAAAAATGAAGAAATCAAGGTAGAGAAGGCATAGGCAGTGTTTAAGGTTGCAGTCTGTGGTTGTACGCCTAGATTTAGAATACAGGCCTTGACTTGACAATCCTTATTTATTGTTTTCCCAAGTCAAATATCAATGTCTGCGCTCTGGTGGTGACATCATGACACTGCGGATGGCCAGCAGGTGCTTCCAGACCAGGGAAAAACAGGAAGTAGTTAGACTATTTTGGTAGCAAAGCATTTCTTCATCATATACAATTCAGTAGCTACTTCTTTGCATTTCTCAAGAATATTAAGAGGTAGACCAAGCATAATGATCCAATGTGATGTGTCTACAAAGCTAACACTTAGATTTTAGTAGCCTGCCTAAAAATATTTCTCAGGTCCCTGGTTGCTATGACCTATGTCATTGTATAATAACAACCCAGGTAACTCCCTCTATAAACCCCGCAACGACTGAAATCTGTGTGTACACCTGCATCCAAATTATAGGTTAAAACACCTATTAATTCAGTAGGTGGAAGTTAAAGCCTCACCTTAGAAAGAAAAGAATTCATGGAACGGCCCTGCTAGATGCCAGATCTAGCATCATCCTCTGACGTTTGGAGATTAGCAGCTGCACAAATTTACACCAATTTACTCCACAGTGTGAGGGCAATAGGAAGGCTGTCTACTGGAAACAATTGTATGAGTTCTGATCTGTATGATATCCTGCTTTGCTCACACAATTTGGCAACAGGACTCTGCCTGCCGTGAAAAACAGTGCCCTTTTCTCATTGTAAGAACTTTCTGAAACACGCCTGCCTGCAATCAAATACTATTTTAAAATAACTGACTCAGCTTGTACCATGCTAGTAAGTGGTTTTCTTCATAATTTTATTCTTATTACACAGAAGGCAAACTACAAGGTAGGCTTAATTATTTGTGTTCTTTAATCTCAGTACCTTTGCCTTAAATGTTTGGCTCAAAACTATAGTCCATCAGACCTTAGGTACAATTTGAATATATTTTTATTTAGTTACTTTCTATCCATTGGTTTGCCAAAATAGAGTGTGGAGATTTCATATAGCACCCAAGCATCTTCTCATTGTTGGGAATACAATAGTGAGAAAAATATGTGAGCTTTTGTCTTCACTGAACTCAGCATAATAGCTAAGGCACAAAGAAGAAACAAATAACACAATCTTAAGTTCTGTGAATGTGATAGAGCTACTATAAGAGGAGAGACTCAACATGCCCAGGGACCTAGGAAAAGGTCTGTAATTCTGGAGTCTATTGACTTCAGAGCACACAAAAATAGAATTGAAATTTGAAACAAGAGGCTGTGGCCAAATGTTACACGATGTCAAAGACCAGGTTTTGGGGCAGGGGGAAGAGCTTATTTATTCTAATTATGAGAATCTACTTAATCTTTTAAAGAAGGGCAGTTATAAGCAACAATAGAAATTTCTGTATAAAAGTATCATAAAACTATTAAATGTGTGATTGTGGGGATTCATGCTGAGAGTCTAATAGGATCTTCAAACACACAAAAATGCTCTTTCAAAACTACTGTGTTACACACGGATATACCAATCTAGTTTGTAGCTAGTCAAGGTTGAAGTATTCAGATATGTCCTTTCAAATAAATCTGAACATCCTTTGATGTTCAAATAAGAAGGATGGTATTTCCAGGAGTTACTCAGAGTTTCTTGATGTTCTTGTGTTTCCTCATACCCAATGGAAAACCTAGATACTGTGTTTGCCAAGAGTAAACTAGATCTAGTTCCATGGTGGTGATATGGTTGGTAATACTCGAGTGTAGCCTGAAGAGAATAACAAGACCCCATCACAACAACAAAAAAATGGAAACATGGAGGAAGAAGAGGAAGAGGAGAAGGAGGAGATGGGGGAGGAGAAGGAAAAGGAGGAGGAGGAGGAGGAAGAGAAATATCTGGTTTTGTTTCATTGTCCCAAATTGAGGCAAATAAGTTATAGACTATATTATAGAAATTATGGGGCGGGGGAGGATGGGAAGGGATGGGAAGGGGAAACAAAGGAGGAGGCTACAATGCTTGATAAGAAATGTACTCATTATCTTGCCCATGTAATTGTAACCCCTCTGTACAGTATTTTCACAATAAAGAAAAAGAAATTATGCTAGCAGGTTCGCTGCCATTAGTGTGGAACTACTGGTTTTAGTATACAATGCTAAAAAATGTAAGAGCTGATTATGAGTCTGCAGCAATAGATAGATAGATAGACAGACAGACAGACAGACAGACAGACAGATAGAGAAAAGTTTTGAGTACAAAATATACTGAATACATGTTTTTATATGGGAGCAATATCAATTTTGAGAAACATAAGCACAAGTAATGCTCCACTTTGTATAAAGTGCTATCATAACAAGTGGTTAAAATTCTTTGGAATAGCAATCTCTAGAAACAAGGAAAGGTATGGAAGATGTAGGGTCGTCAGAAGTCAGATAACAGAAACCCAAATGGATAGAATAAGTTCTGATGTTTTGTAGTACATTTCAGTAAATATAGTTACAATAATTTATGATACACCTTATGATACATTTATAAATATATTTCAAAATAATTAGAAGAGACAGTCAAGTTTTCCATGATGTAGAAACAGCAAATGTCGAAGGAGATAGAAATACTAAGTACTCTGATGTCATCTTTACACTTTCTATACATGTGTCAATTTATTACACTGTGATAACATGATTATTGATAATTTACTCCATAAATGTGTGCAAATATCTTGTCAGTTTGCAATTATAACCCCTTTGTACGACTACTTAAAGTTGATTTTAAAAAACAAAATTATAATGAAAAGACTATTTTATAATATCTTCCCATAGAATATAATGTGATAGACTGCATATTCATTAGTATAACCTTTATAACTTTCATCATTTTCATTATTTCAAAAGGAATGCACCATCATGGCTAAATCTTGTTTTAAACATGTGAAAGTGGAAAGAAATAGTAAAAATCTCCCATTTTCCCTTAAAAAATGGATGGGTAAGTCAGAAGCAGCAGCAATAACTGCTAAATCAGAAAATGAGAAGAGGCTTCACGTAGAATCCTGCAAAGAGTGTAGGAGAATAAAATGCCAGACAGAGAGAAAGGGTGAGAGGGCACTGAGCCTGGTCAGTACTTTGAGTGATCAGCAAGGAGGAACAGCACTGCAGAAACCCCTTCCTCTCCTAATTAACTAGAAGGCCACGATCTGAGGGTGTGCCCACTTCTCACTGAAAATGTCTTGAGTATCTTATTACTTATATTTCTGCCAATCTGGTTTTCTCAGAACTCCAGGGCTGAATACTCAGCCGCTTCCACGTACCGTCCTTATCCACCTATCAGCGTGAAGAGTCATGTAACGACTCACATTTGACCAGCCTCACCCATATGAGTCATCTCTCTCGGGCTCACTTGAAAGCCATTTTGAAGATGCGCCATGGACTCGCATCTTTGTTAGTAAGCCATCATCTCCCCATATAACGAGACAACGTGCTAATGAAATGGTACCCTTCAAATTAGTTTAAGCAATGAGCTGCAAAGGAGTCCCGAGGGAAAGCCAACACCCAGCTTGCTGAGTACTATATAATCTCCCAGCAAAGAATTTAATCTTCAAACCTGGCATGGCAAATCCTTTTGGACCACCTCCAATTAAGGGTTTTAGCAACTATGTCTCATCGCTACTGCCACTCGCTCAGAGGCTTCGGTAAGGCCCCTTCCCTGTCGGCTATTGTGCATGGCTATCATCCGGTATGTTTTGAAGATGGATTGTTTTTGCCTAGCAGCTGCCATAGTAGAACCTGGCTCTTGGATAACCTTCAAGAAACCCGCAGTCAGACCACCAGTTACCAACTAACCCATTATGAACAGGACCAGAACACAGAAGATTCTTGCGTGCCAAGTTCCTGTTTCTCCAGAGTTGGCCAAACAACGTGCTCCAATTCCAAGGCCAGTGAGAGGACAACCTGTCCATCAGGAAGTTTTCCAGCAGGGGTGGACTGTGCTGCTCAGCCCTGCCAGTCAGGAAACCAGCAACAAATGGGCTTTGTAGCCAAGACCTGCCAACCCGCAACCTACGCAGCCAAGTGCTGTCCAGCAAAGACTCCTGTGTGTAAGGGTTGCCAAACTCTGGAATGTGAGTCCAGCCAAATCCAACTTCAGATCCCTGAAGCCAGTTCCTGTAGCCCTTTGGTCCATGTTGTCCCTGAGGCACAACTCCTGGAATCTTCTAGCACCTATGAACCAACTTGCTGTGTTACAGGTGGTTTGCAAGTACCTAGTAAGTGAAAGGCTTCTAGGGGATATTTCCAAGTCAGACTGATCATTGGGGTGCTGAGCAACTTTTCTAAATATAAAATAATGTGTATTCATGAGGGTGTGCACATAAATACTGTTGCTTACTCCGAAGATAAGTTTCTTTTTAGGGGGCTTGGGACTATTCCTCTTAGCAAGCTGGGATTTTATTTTAAAAACAACAACAAACAAAACACATAACTATTTTAGCTTTCTTATACACTGGTCATTATAGAGCATGTTACAGTCAGAGAATAATGACATGTATCCTTGACACAACTAGTGGTTATTACCTATGGAAGTATTTGGATTGCACTGCTTAACTAATATGATATCAATAACCAGCTTCCATGTATTATAAGGGTTGAAACAGACCTAGAAGGCTATGTGAAGTTCTGTAAGTTAGGGCCAAGTCTTAACAGATTGCTGTGTGGTTGTCAAGAGCAGAAACAAGAAGTCTCCCCCTGTGCATAGTCATTCACTATTCCAGTCCAAACATACCCAGATGACTTTGCGGTGAATTCTTTGGCTTGAAAAAGTGCAATTGAATTTTCAACTTCACCTCCACAGACTTTAGAAAGACAGACTTCAGAGTGCTAACCAGGGGGCTTTCCACAGCCAGCATTAGAACTTTCACTGCTGTTCCTGTCTTTCTTGAGTATTTCTTAAGTGATTTTTGGGTGGGAAAAATATGCTCTTTAAATAAACTTATTTCATTTTGACTTATAAGCTTAATTTGTCAAGTCTTATATTTTTTATTCAACCACAGAAGTGAGTTTCAGTTTCAGAAGTGAGTGTCAAAGATTTTTAAATTTGAGCAAAGATAGTACTAATAGTGAAGATTAAAAACAACATGGGGGTGGGGGTAACAACGTTGGACAAGAAATGTATTCCTTACCTTATTTATGAAACTGTAACCCCTCTGTACATCCCCTTTACAATAAAATTAAATAAAATTAAAACAACAACATGGTTCCATGGACACATTTTATAGAGGAGATAATTATCCAAAGATGGGGCATAATCAATGTGAAAGTTCCTAAATGTATCAACTTAGGTAGTTTGGATATTGGAAAAACATGGTAGGGTATAGGAACATGGGCTTTGCAGAGAGATTTCCTGGTACTGAATCAATATTCTGGGAGGGGACTGTGTGACTCTGAACTTGAGCCACACTCAGAGCTCATTTTTTTAAAGTTTATTTTCATCAATAGCATTTTTTATCTTTGGCCCAGGCCCATTTTTTGCCCCATCAAGATCCTCCTATCTCTTCTCCTATGGCTGGGATTACAAGTATGCACAACCACCCCTGGCCTATAATACAAGTTGGTTTTTTTTTAACCACTCTACACCTCAAGCTTGAATTAGTAAAGATAGGACAATGAGAATCTTAAGATGTTAATAAATTGAATGTACACACAACATTTCTTACATGTTGTATTCAGTAAATTGAATATCTAGTTAAATCCAGCCCAGAAAATCAGTATGCAGGGGGTATTAAAGGGTATGCAATAGAGTTTATAAAGAAACCCCATTATCTCTGGCAGATTAGGAAAGCTACTTACTCCATATTGCCAATGTTACCTACAGTGTGTTATACTCAGGGAATTACTGAGAAACAGTCAGGCCCTACCTTGTTGAATTAGGCAAGCAAGTAGCTCTGAAGCTATGACAAAGCTAACAGGACTGATAATTCAGCATTCAGTTTTGTGGGTGTGGTGTTGGGAATGCCAGGCTTCGTGTCCAGAAGTGCCCGGATGCAGGCCATTTCTGGGGGCATCTACGAGGGTTTTCTGGATGAAACAATGTAGTTGGACATCATAAAATCTGTCACAGACCTGAATAAATCAAATGGTGGGCAAAGGAGAAATGTGGTACTCTCACCTCTAGCCTTCTCACTTGAACTGGAACCCAGAGTGTGTCCTGTTCTTGCTCTGGAAATGAGACCATCAGCTCCTCTGGCACCCAGGCTTCATACTTACCCTGCAACCCTATCACCAGTGCTCCTGAGATTCCCAGAAATCTACATCTACTCATCACAGATTGTGACACTTTTTAAACATAATCTGTAGCCATGTAATTATGGGAAATTTTATGTCTATGTGAAAAAATCAATTCTATTTCTCTGGATAGCCCTGAGTAATAAATTGTTTTCTATAAAGAATGCAAACAGGCTGGGAAGGTGGCTCATTGGTAGAGTGCTTGCCTTGCATGCATGAGGCCCTGAGTTCTATTCCTTAGCACCACGTAAGCAGAAAAAGCTGGAAGTGTCGCTGTGGCTCAAGTGGTAGAGCTGAAGAGCTGAGCAACAGCGCCCAGGCCCAGCGTTCAGCCCCCCCCCCGCCCCGCAAAAAAAAAGAAAATGTAAACAGCAATATAAGACAACATGTTGGAAATGATCTGTACAACTGGGGGGGGGTGGTGGGAGGAGGAAAATTGGGAAAAAATGAGGGAGGGGGTAAGAAGTTGGACAAGAAATGTGCTCACTACCTTACTTATAACTGTAACCTCTCTGTCCATCAACTTGACAATAAAATTAAAAACTAAAAAAGAGGCTTTATATATGACTTCTATAAACCACATACGCTTGTGCTAGGTAGAAGGGTAGAATTACAGCAGCTGATGGGAAAACCAACATCAATATAAACAAAGAGAAACATAAACTCATGGCAGCTTCTGAGAATTCCAATCCAGATAATCATGCCAACACAGACACAGTTTACTTGCAATGAAGATGGCTGCTAATGAGATTTGAATTGGATTATTTAGGAACAGCTTAATTCTTTTAGACTTCTGTGTATAACACATGCCTGCTTCCTATGTGTTCCTTTACTGGGTATAATTTATCAGACAGCACTTATTTCGTGGAAAGTGGCAATGTGTGGTGGCATGTTGTGTGGCTGGGAAGTGCTGGAAGGGAAAGATGACAAAAACAAGTTTGCTTTTTGAAATCTTTCCCCATCATTCTTTTCAGGGTGACTATCACCACGCTCTAAGGAGAGTTACATTTGAATTCTTCATAGAGATGTATTTTATGGCCTGGAGTAGAAAAGACTTTTGATATTTGATGTGGCAGGAGACTCGAGTGGAAAATTTAGTGATAGTAGAAGAGCGATGCATTGGAGTCAGATTGTGAAGAGACTTTGCTTAATTCTGAATCCTATCAATTACTACTTACACACCCCAGGCCAAATTGGCATTTCAGAGACTCAGTGCTTTCACTGTAAAATGGAGAAATTGATACCTGGTATACTACATGGCTGTGACAACTAAATTCTAAAATGCCAGTTTAGTGGAGTGTTCAACACGGGGCAAGTGTGCAATACATCCAGGTGTCATTTGCTACTTCATTTGATTGGACTCTAGGGGTTCAAACTCAGTCTATTTTATGATTGAGTATATCGAATTCGAACTCAGAATTTACTTGCCTAAAGAATACTGTGTGATGAGCCATAGCAGACAAGTTAGTAATTGAGCATTTATTACTTTCCAAACATTTGACCATGTCTTATTTTAAACAGTGTTACTTTCATAATCCCATAGTTTTTCCAGTGAGGATGAAGGTTCAGATAAATTGAGAAATAGAAATGGAGCTACATTAATAGAAATGGAGATATATTTGTGAAAGGTTTGTAAAATAGCATTCCTTTTATGCATATTAGTGAGGACAAATATTAACTCTAAATCATATGAACGTGAGCAAGTCTAGGTGAGGTATTCAGGTGATAAGTAGTAGGAATGTTCTACAATACAAAATTTATTTTCTTAATGGTAATATTTCAATGTCTATAGTGCTTAGTGTCTACCTCATTCATTCATGCATTTCTTCTTCTTTTTTGGTAGAGAGCTTTTCCTCTGTATTCTAGACTGGCCTACAACTTAAACTCATGATCATCTCCTTTAGCATCTAGACATGTGGAATTTTCCATATGAATTACCATCTAGTTCCTATGATCTTTTCTAATTTTAATAAAATTCCTTAAAATTTATTTTCAGCTCAATACAGATGCTTAGGACTTTTTAACATTATATGAGAATCATTGACATTTTTCTTCAAGACAGATTAGCTCTTCCTTAGCCTATTTCTTATTTTATTTTCCCACTTAATCATTCAGCTTAATTCTTTCAGCCAGAGTATTAGTCCAGGTTCTTCCACTTGGACTCAAAATGATGATTGAAAAAGTAGGAAAGAAACAGTCTACAAAAAACATGAAAATTATACTTCCTTAAGCAATTCATAAGTCACAATTCTCAGTTATCAGAGTTATGACCTTCATAAAGAATAACAGACATTATAGGAATATAGGTACAAATATAGTAAAAGTCTAAACAACTTGAAAGCAAAACCTTTTTTGTGGTTGCTTAGTTGTAAATAATTTGACTGATTTTTCACATATAACTTCCTCTATCTTCATGGAGACAAGCTTATTAATGAAATAGAGAGCATTGTTCTTGGGAGCCTAAGGCAAAACCAATGTAATTGCTTTGACTTGCCAAAACCAAAAGATCCCAAGAGTAAATACAGGTAAAGAATAGAGCTAAGAATTGCCCCATTTGTCAGGAAATGGAAAGACTTGGAAAAAATTATAATAAGTGAAGTAAGCCAGGTCCAAAGAAACTTAGGTCCCATGGTTTCCCTTATTTGCAATAACTAGTATATGCAGAGTCAAGCAGAAAAGGTCAAATAAGTTGATGTTAGGGAAATGAACCCTAAGATATGTATTCAAATGTTTTTTTCTTTCAGGTGATTGTTTCTAACACATTTATAAGATTATTTCTTTGTTGATTTGTATGTCCCTCCCCATGGTATAACCCCTGCTTTCACTGTATTTGAGGTTGGTATAATTTGTGGAGGGGAAGGGAAAAAACAAATCATTTAAATAGGGATACAGGTGGATCCATTGCAACAATGAGCTGTACAAGTCCTTATGTGGAAAAATGAACTTTACAACTTTGGTGGGGGGATAGGAAGGGATGGGAAGGGGAAACAAAGG